ATGGAACCACCATTTGACCCAGCTATCCCTCTCCTCGGTCTATACCCAAAAGACTTAAAAACAACATGGTACAGGGACACGGCCACATCAATGTTTATAGCAGCACAATTCACAACAGCTAGACTGTGGAGCCAACCTAGATTCCCTTCAATAGATGAATGGATTAAAAAATGTGGCATAAATACACAATGGAATATTACTTAGCAATAAAAGAGAATAAAATCATGGCATTTACAGGTAAATGATTGGAATTAGAGAACATAATGCTAAGTGAAGTTAGCCAATCCTAAAAATACAAATGCTGAATGTTTTCTTTGATACACGGAGGCTGATTCATAGTTGGGTAGGGAGAGGGAGCATGGGAGGAATAGACAAACTCTAGATAGGGTAGGGGGGTTGGAGGGGAAGGGATGGGGCATGTGGTTATAAATGTGGTGGAATGTGATGATCATTATTAACCAAAGTACATGTATAAAGACACGAATTGGTGTGAATATACTTTGTATACAACTAGAGATATGAAAAATTGTGTAATAAGAATTGTAATATATCCCATCTAACTCAAATTTATGATATGTCAAGGTCATTGTGCTGTCATGTGTAACTAATTAAAACAAATTTAAAAAAATTAAATAAATAAAATTTAAATTTTTTTTTTTAAAAAATGGAAAAGAAAACTAAAGAAAGATATAATGTGACATGATCATTTCTTAAAATTATATGGATACATGTGTTTGACATGAAAATGTGCCCCCCAAATGTACTGTGAATAAAAATCAAATTGTAAAAAACATTTTTACAACAGTAAATGATAAAACAAAATACACATTTCATTTAAATTTATGCAAAAAAATTGAGCAAAGAATCCAAATACACATTTTTCCTAAGTTATGCTGTAAGTTATTGATGAAGCCAGAATTTGAAATATGAAACTTTGAAGCCTCTCAGTCAGGTGCCCTTTGCTACATAGCTGCAAAACAGCCATGGCTTTATCTTGTGATGGACAGCTTGTGAATTGTCCTCTTTCTGTTGTGCATTGGAGGAATCCTTTCTTTTTTCAATACTAATCCAGATCAGTGAAAATGTTTGTAACTGTTTCAAAGATCAGTCACTATCAAGTAGGAGAAGAAGCAACTAGATTACACAAGGGCGGGAGTGGGGGTGAGTTAAAACCTTTTGGGTGTGACCAAGGTGGCTAGCTTTCTAACAAAATTTGGTGCTTCTTCCCTTACTTAAGTACATAGAGATAGAAATGACAGTCAGTGAGTTCATGTATCAGGTTCCTACTACTGGATGTGCAGGTGGGGATTTTAAGTAGCATGGATCTTTTCTTTACTTTCTCTTTCCCTTTCCACTGGCTGCCAAGCCTTCTAAATCCCCAGGGAATGGTAAAAGCAATAACTATGGAGAGACCTACGTGGAAGGAAGCCACTGACTGTCCAGGGAGGACTCTTACAAGAGCAAGAAATAAACTTGTACTGTGTTAGACCACTGAAAGTTTTGAATTTGATACAGCAGTTCATATCTGAGTTCATATTCTGGGAGACAGAATAAAATATGGGGCAAAAGAAGGGCTGAGGGATGTCAAAAAATACGGGTTGGTGGATATAAAAATTGCAAGACACAGAGTCATCCCAGCTAAACTGGGAAAGGACCTGGAATAAAACAGGTGAGCACTCTCCACACCATGCCCTCCCTAACTCTTTCAGTCAGTACATCAGGTGGCCTCATTCTGCTAAGCACTATTGCTTCTATTTCTCTCCATTTCTGTTTTCATTACCTGAGGCTGGATCTTCATCTTTTGGTGGGTTTACTGCAAGTACTTTCTAACGAGGTGTGTACTTTGTAGCACACAAATGGGATTAGGACCCACATCTCCACACCTCCTCGTCCAGCTTGAACCTTTTCAATTAATTCCCAAAGTGATTACAGTGAAGTCCAGACTTCTTTGCATAACACTCATGGCCCCTTCTGCCATGGCCTCTGTTTCAGCGATCACCTTCCTGCCTTAGATTGTATAACTGCAGTTGTCCTCATCAAATTATTTTGGCATTCTGAGTGGGTCATGCCTCTTGTGTCTCTTAGTTATTGCATAAGATATCCTGCCAACTGAAATGTCCTGCCTTATCCCTTCTCCCTTCTTCCCCACCATGTCTCTCTTTACCAGCAGTAATATTTCCACTCAATTTAGCTGTTGCCCCTTCTAGAAAGGTTTTTCAGACATCCTCAATCCCAATTAGCATCTTATTTTCTGTTTTTTCTTAGTACCCTATTCATACCTCCATCAAAGGATTTTCATATTCCCAAACTATTTCTCTATCAGTTTCTTCTGTTAGATTGATCTTCTGAGTTCAGAAACACCCATTCACCACTGAATCTTGGCATGCTGTAGATACTTGGCACAGAGTAAGTGCTCAGTAGGTTTTTTTCCCTTTTCTTTTCTTCTTCTTTTTTTTTTTTAGGGAGGTTTGGTTATTGTTTTTGTTTTTGGTCTGGGTGGATGGTTCAGAATGGATGCCTGTTTGTTACAAGCTTAAGAAAAGGTCATACACAAGACAATTAGCCATGCTGGTTAGCTACTAGAGAAAATAAAATCACTTTCTTTTTTTCTGTAAACTTATTTATGTAATTTTCATCTGTAAATAGTTTTTCACATATGATTTTCCAAAGCGTCTGTGTTGGATATTTAAAAGAATTTGATTGATTAATTAATTACTAATATGTAAGTAGACAAGCCAGTACATCTCCCTCTCATTCTCCAAGCGAGCCAGAACTTGAAAAAACCTGGTTGACTGGTCTTGAGGAATAAAGCACACAGGAGATTAAGACCTTGGCTCTTGAGTCAGAGATGCCAGTGTGGAGTCCTGCCATAACACTTGGTAGCCATGCGGCCTTGGGCAATGAAATACTGTTTCAAATATCTTTAGCAGAGTGTCTGCTACATAATAAGAGTCCAACAGCTGATAGCAATAGGGATTATGTTATTTTTGCTACAAATATTAATATTAATTTTATCATCATCTTGTCCTAATAGTGTTGTCAGACTGTGACTAAGGCATCTTCACCTGGGGGTTTGTACACTACGTGCAGAAAAAGTCACTGAGAAAGACCAGCCCTATGAGGTCATTGGGGAAGACCTAAAGCTCCTCATTGGACGGGCAAGAAAACCCACACTCATCAGGGTTACGAGACCTGCTCCTAGTCACGTAGCTAGCCAGGACAGAGCTGAGACTCAAACCAGAACTTCTGATTCCAAAGCCAGTTCTCTTTCCACTACAGTGCCCAGCCTCTGGGCATTAGCATTTCCATGTCCCACAGGCTTCCACAATTCTAAGATCAAATAGGACTTTAGATTCCAAACAGGCATACAGGGACTGTCTGTTCCCCTCTCTCTATTCATAGGTACTTGGGATTGCGGGCCCATAGGGCATTCTGCCCATGCTTCAGTGCTTTCGGATATGGCTCCCCTCCCCCAGGGACTCCTTCTGCCAAGGGGTCAGATTGGCTCGAACGTAGACTAAAGTTCCTTTCTACAGAGTTGCTTCCACGTCTCCCCCAGGACTAGGCTGGGAATGCCATCTACGCACTGCGCTCCAGAAGCCCAGAGATCCCAGGGATTCTGTGCTTGGTAGATGCCTATCATGGAAACTGAACATGACACTTGAGTGAACATCAGGGTGTGCTAAATCTCTGAAGTAAGATGCTCAGTGCAAACTGTGAAAGCAGATAACATACAGCACTCAGAAAGTCATAGATTGTCCAAGCCTGATAGGAATTGAGGCCTCATCTAGTCTGAACTATGTATTTTGCAGAGGAGGAGATCTGGGCACAGAAATAGGAACAAAATGTCCAGGCCATGGTGGTAGTGGTTGTGGGGTGTCTCCTAGGTCCCATCGTCCTGTCCTTTCCATCATGCTCATCATTCACATCTTTCTGGGGAACTATCATAATTGAAGACCTCCTCTGGAGACCTACTGCTTCAGGCATAGAAACCTGCTTAGAGTAACCACCATGGTTGTGGGAAGCTGGTCTTTACTTAGGCCATTGTTAGTGATCAGGAACACCTTTCAAGGGTGGGATGGCTGGAGACTTTATGTAAAGAGCCTAAAGCCAGGACATCTAGATATGTGATCAGTTCTAGAGCTGTTCTGAGAACAGTGCTCACCACTGTTAGCATATAGAGGAATGTGCTGGAGAGGCAAAATATCATTAGGATCCTGAGTCAATCAAAGGCCAAAACCAGGAGAGGGGTTATCAGTTGCAAGAGATAATTAACTCCTTAGGGGAATTGGAGAATAACTATTGCCCCTGGCTCCTCTAGTGCTCTTAGCCCTCTGCCCCTCTGTAAATGGGTGGGAAATCTTGAAGAGACCATGCTGAGTCAATCAGTTCCTGGAAGCTTTAATGTCTTTGAATCCTATAGAATTGATATCTCAGAACCTCCAGGGGCTCCCTAAACCAGAATTTTTTCCAGGTGGACATACAGGTAGCATATCTAATGTCCTCTGTTCTTAGTCTCTTGTATTCCGGACCTTTACCCCAGTTCTCAATCAACGATGCACAATTCCCTACAATATACACTGCCCTTCCAGCAGGCCAAGGAGATGGGTCCATAGCAGGGGACTGTTCACAGATAATGGAGAACTGAAAGTGGATCAGAAAGGGAAAACACCTGGTAAGCATATTACATTCCACCCCATTTAATGCAGGAAACACTATTTCTTTATCCTTAAGCCTCCATTATCTTCCTTGGTCCCCAGTACATGGAAGAGACTGCATACGCCTCCAGCCAAAGACTTGGTAAATAAATGAATGAAGGAATAAAGTGAGTGCTGGAGTTAATGAGTAAACGAATGAACCATCTAGATGAGAAAACGACTGCTGAAAAACCCAAAGGGAATTGCAAAACTTTGACAACACATACAAAAATCTGGATGAATTCTATGACGGAGAAAGATCACCTCTTTATATAATTTCCTTTTCCATTCTTTCTTCTCCAGAACTCTAAAACAAGAACACTATAAATGAATTATTAAAATAATTCATTTAAGGTAATCTTTAAAATTTAAATGTTTTAATAAAACATTTATAGTAATTTTTGTATGATTTCTTTCATTTCTCTAGCTAGTAGAATCTTTTTTTTTTCCTCAGAAACTGTTTTTCATTTGTATTCTCTCAAGGATCCTATATATGGTTACCACCTTGCCTCGTCATCACCAAATTCATTGAGACCTTTGTAAGGAAAGAGGCAAATGGAAATAAGAGAAAAAAGAAGTGAGGAGAGGTGTTCTAGATGCAGACAACCTTGCATTCCTGAGTCCTGGGTCCACCATTTATCAGAGCAGCTTTGCACAAGGTACTTAGCCTCTGGATTATAATGGAACTTACTTGTGGGCATGATTATGAGTAATCACATAAGGAAAGTACTTTGCATCCTTGTTACCATATAGTTAGTGCTCAATTTTTAGTTATCATATTGTATTGCTATACTATTGTATTATATTACAGCATATTGTATAAATCATATCATTTCATATCAATCATATATGATATATGATTTTATATAACAGTATTATACATAGCAGTATTATATAGCCATTATAGATAATATATAGGATATATATTATAATGTAATATATTACAATTTACTACTTATAGCCATTATATATGTGTGTATATGTATAATTTACATATATGTGTCATATATTACATATGCCATACAGTATATAGCCATCAGTGTATTGACTGTGGCTTTGTTAAACGAGAGTCTGGATGTGTTCACCAAAGTCACATATTCCACATAGCTCTCCTCCAGTCAGCGCCTCTTTTTCTGTCCAGACTCAGACCATTCTTTACTGCTCTCCTCTGTGTACTCTGAAGATAGAATCCGGGGCTCCACTTAGTTTTCCTCTGAAACAAGAAGGTAGCTGAACCATTCTGACCTTCTCAAAGTGTGTCTCCTTCCTTCTCATTCAGGAGAAGTCAACTGAATACAGAGTCCTGATATGAGCCTTGCTTTTAGGGGAGGAAAACCACTTCCCATCTCTTTTGTTCACCTGAATTTCACCCTTTCCCTCCAGCATCCCAAACTCCCCCTCACTCACCTCAACAAGCCAGGTTTTGGAGTTGGTTGGATGGTTACAGTTATTAGAGCTCAAGGGTAAGACCAGAGTTGAATCCCACTGCTCATTTCACTCCCTGCACTGAAGCAGTCAGGTCAGGGCAGTGGTAGGGAAAGGCCAGGGGTTTAGAGTAGCCTTCACTCGTCAGGGAAGACATGATATCAAGTTAGAGAAAACAAAATACGTTGACACATTTAACTATACACTCAATCCTGAGCCATCACTGTTGGTTGATGTCTTCTCCCCTTTTCATCTTCTTTAGGTTCTAGGATCCCTATTTTATAGGGCAAGGCAACATGCTAAAGGAGGATGGAGCCCTTCCCCCAGCCAGAAGGAATGAAGGGTAGTCAGCTTATGTCAAGCATGGAAATTTTATTTTCCTTTCCCCATGATTGCTTTGGGAATGGGAAAGGGACCCAGTTCTGAGCAATAAGATCAAATGGAAAGTCTAGTGGTGGGCTCGACTCAGAAGCTTTTTGTTTCCTGCTATAAAGAGAAGCAGCAAGTTCCGTCCTCCATGACTTAGATGCAGTTATGTATGAACGTGGTACCTGGAGCTGCAACAATTATTTTGTGATCATAAGCCCACAGTCCAAAGAGCAAAGGTAGAACAATAATAGAACGTGGAGTTTTTGATGATATTATTGAATTGTTGAGCTAATCTGGAATGATCTACATCTAGACTTTCCATGATTTGTGAGATGATTAAAATTTTCTATTGTTGTAGCCAGTATTTTTATCTTACTTGCAACCAAAGGCATCTTGTGTCATATAAACACTATCCAACTTGTGTTGTAATTTGTCCATTTTCACATTTGTAAGTTCTATTTTTTATTGATTTTTGTATTCCTAGCACTGAGTATAAGACTGGCACTTAGTAAGACTTTAACAATTGATTGAAAAGGTGTTAGATGCAGGATTCAATTTTAGGTTCTGTGAAACTTTGATTGTCTCACTTCAAATTCATTTCTATTACTAGGAAAAAAGAATTATTGAGAAGCACTATGAAAAATGTCCACAATAAAAACATAGAGTGTTACCTGTCATGAATATATAAATAATTACTGGTATAGTGGCTACTGCTGAGAAATGTCTCTTGAAGATTCCCAGAAATTCCTGTCAGTCACATGAAGACCTAAGTCTCTGGTGATCATTCCTTCTGGACCCAAATCAGTGTACGTAGCCATGGAGTATTTAAAGTGATATTGCTCTAGAAAACCTAGGATGTGTGTTTTGTACATTTAGTAAGGATTTCTTTAATATCTTCTACTTACCAGGCACTTGATTAAGCACTGCGGATGAGAAATGAACCACCACACAGCCCCTATCCGTGAAAAGCTTAAGTGCCAATACAAAGCTACGGACCTACATGGAAGTGGTCACAAATCTCATGCCCAGTCCTCTTAGAATAGCATGCTGTTACCACTGAGTTAATTAAGAAAACCAAATTCTTAGGCATTTATCTTTGGCGATGTTCACAAAATGGTGAAATGGAAACTTCCCAGGCTCAGCCTTCCTGAGCCAAGTCTGTTTTAGAAGGTGACTTTCTGCTGTAGTCACACTCAGCCTTCAACATGAACCTCACATCCTCTAGAGGCACTCCTAGCCCAGAGTGTGCCCTCTGCATGGTTCTCCCAGAACAGCTAATCCAAGGGGAAAAGGAGTTTGGGTGAATATTTGGGAAAATTATGGGTAGTGCCTTGCTTCCCTACCAATCAGCACATACAAAGAAAATACTAATCAGAGCCCATTCTCCTCCTAGCCAACCAAAGGAGGCCAGAGCTCTAGTGCTCAGCACCATTGGTCCCCCAGGCTCAAGAACTACCTCTCAGTTCCAAATGGAATTTAAGTGCACAAAAGCACCAAACTTAGAACAATTTATTTCCTCACTAATCTGCCTTTTGTAGAAATTGCTGGAAACTGTCATTTCTATCCCTCTCCCCTAACATGAGCCTTCCCACCATCCCTTAAAGACATTTTTCTCTTCTCTCCCATCATTAAGCTTTTAGAGATGTCCTGGCCTTCAGCTAGTTGCTCCAGCTGTATTTTTTCTCCTTGGAGAGGCATGGATACCAGAGCCTTACTGGGAATGAATCCTAGTTCCTCCACTGAACAGCTGTCAGATTCAAGTTATGATCACTCCCTGTGGCTCAGTTTCTACATCTATAAAATGGAAATTTACCACCTTTGCTCTCAGGGTTCCCATCTTGGGCTTCCAGCTTGCATCCCTGACCCCTTCTGAGCTGACCTCCTACAGTCACCCTTCACCACACAGACTCATGTTTGTGGAACCACAAGTGTAACCATCGCTGTATTCAAGACTCATCTGCAAATGGTTTATGCACTTTGTGGAACAAAAAAAGTCTTAAAACTGTGTATGTACTATATGTGCCTTTTTATGTACAGATGTTACACTTCAATAAATAATTTGTTTAAAATCTTTAGTCATGTTAAGCCCACTGAGCCAAACAGGGCTTACTTTTTCAGTCTGCTCTCTTTCCCCCTATGTTTAGTCCCAACAGTTGCATATGCTTATTTTAGAAAGACAACAAAAAACAGCAAAAGAGTGAAAATCAAAAAAACACCCGTGCCCTTCCCAGTACTCAGAGATGATCACTAATATTTTAGAAGGTGTCTATATAATTTTTTTTACTATAAAAATGGAATCATATGTTAATAATGTTTTATAACCTTTTTGAGGTAATCTACTCTAGTTCCAAAATATTGTCTTTTAAAAGGTGCATTATATTCCATCAGATGGGTGAAGCACAATTATTTAACTGATCCCTATTGCTAGAGATATACATGGTTTCAGCATTCAGGAATGCTGCTTTCAACAGCTCTGGAACTAAATCATTGCACTGCCCTGGGTTTTTCACTCAATTCAATTTTCAATTATTCACATGGCTCCTTCCAGCCTTATTTAGGCTTCTTGATCTTTGAGGCAATTCAAAATTGCTTTATTATGCACTAGATCTTCCAGACTTTTTCTCTGAAAGATTTACATTTCACTGAAACAAATAATGAATTTGATGCAGGCATTTTCAAGGATAGGATGGGAAAGAATGGAGGCACTTTGGGTCACAAAATTCATTGGCTGGAGTGGGTAGGCACAGAGGACCTCAGGCCCTCAGAGCCCTGACTTGCTGGGGCTGATGCTGCTCAGGAGTCCTGTTGTGACTCACAGTGGTATTTGCTTCCTGAGTGTTATTTGCTGTTTCTGCCTGTGCTAATGACTACAAATTGCTAATGGCTGTGAAAAGCTAATTGTTGTGCAAGGTGTTTCTCTCTGTCCCAATTGCCAGGGGAGCACACAGTCACAGTTAAACAGAGACTCATTAGCGCCTCTGACATAGTCCTCCAGGGGAATCCTCATCATAGTCTGGCAAATAACCAAGCCTCTCCACCTACTCAGAGCCAGGAGTCTTTGTGGCCAGCAACAAAAAGCGGGGGTGGGGTGGGGGGACAAGGATTTAGGAAGCATTTCCCAGGAGGAAACAAAGGAAGTGGATGGTGTGTGTTGACCTTCAGTTGGAGAATGGAAGACTTGAAAGGACTCTTACAGGCAAGTCTCTGAATCATAGCAGTGTAGCTATTGCTACACCATCATGGGTGCTTCCTGGCTTTTCTTTTACTTGCTCCCACTTTTCAGAGTAGTACACTGAGGCTCAGAATGAACGCTCTCCCTCCAAATCCTTTTTATTCCAGACACCATATTCCTCCTCCCCCACAGTATTGGGGATTGAACCTGAAGATTTCTACCACTGAGCCACATCTCAGCCCTTTTTTTTTTAACTTTGAAACAGTATCTCCAGTATCTCACTAAACACTGAGGGGCTCACAAAGTTTCTGATGCTGGCCTTGAACTTCCTTAGCCTCCCCAGTCACTGGAATTACAGGCATGCACCACTACACCCAGCCAGAGACCAGGACATGGAGACTTGTGGACTGTTTGCAGGGCCAGCTGGTGAGTGTGAGTCTTTTAGGAGAGAAAGCATTTGAACACAAGATTTCATTCATTACATTCCATGATTTCCTCATGAAAGGTGGGCTTGTTAAAAAGCAAAGCAATAACACACTCACATAGACTGATCAATGATCACTTCTGCTGGATTCCTGTAAGTACGACGTAATATCCGCTTCGACTGAAATTCCATATTCTAAGCTACCCACGTAAAACTCTATTTCGTAATCTATTATTTCCCTGTCCTTTGACTTGAGTTTAGCAATTTATTTGATAAGGCAAACTTGGACACAGTAATGCATTTTGAATTCACAGTGTGGCAAGTTTTGGAAACCCTTTTCCTATTGCTTTATGCACTCATTACAATTATTCAGCTGGAGATATGCATTTCGGAACCGCCTCCCCGTCCCCAGTTCTTTAAATGTGTCTTTCAACCTATGTGTCCTTTTCCCAAGCACTGCAATCATTTGCTGCTTTGTGCTGGTAATTTTACATGCAAAATTGTGCTGCCAATTCTGTACAACTCTTTTTTTCCAAAAAGAAATTGAATTGACAGCAATAGAAATTAATGGAGAAGCTATGTCTAGAATTGCCATGAGACTGTTAGCTCCAGTTCATCCTATAGGTTCTTTGAGAAAACAAAGCAAAGGGGCCAGTCCTTAGGGAATGGAAGTCTACTAACATAGGGGAGAGAGAAAAAAAACATTGAAAAGCAAAACACTGCCATTTACAGTTGCAGGATAAGTTGCCTGGGCAACGCTGGCTCAGGGGATGAAGAACTGGTCTCACCTGCCATCCTTTCCATCCCTTTCCCCTGCCTCATTAGCTTAACAGAGATAGCAGGTGCCTTTATTGGCTTGGTTATTAACAGGGCAAAGAACTGGCATGAAAGTTAATGTTAAACCCTCAACCAACTCAATCAACTCAATAATGAGATTTGATGTGAGCAAAAAAAAGTATTAACAACAGAGTTCATACTGTGACCAGGTCTTTAGCGAGTGGCAGGTGCTGATTGTGGCTGATAAATTATTCCTGACGTCATTATTCCAAGCAGATTATTTAGTGCAGGGAGAGAGATTGATGCAAATGATGTCATCCAAAAGTTAAGAGAGAAAGCAAAAGGGGAACGGCTCCTGGATTGCATGAAAATGATCCCTCTAGAGTCAGTCCCATTTGGTTCCACCAGGTCCCAGTCCAGGATGAGTAATTTCAACTCAGGTTGGCACAAAATGGCTCCTCTCAGTCCTGTTGATAATCATGGGCCAGAGCAAAATGAGGCCTTTTGCCACTGTTGCTGAGCTGACCATTGCTGACATATGTCCCTATACTTGAAAGGACAGCACCATCACCTGGGAAATGGAAGGCCTTCCTTCAACGACTGAGTTCAGAGCCAGGGCAGGAGCAACAGTTTGCAGGTAACTTCAGTAAGTTGAATGCATCTTTATGGCTTCTTCTTGCAGGAGTTTAGGAAAAGCTAAAGACATTCCTGATTCCTAGAAGAACCTCCCCACATCCCATTGAATGAGAACCTTTTGGGAGAGAACCAGTGATAATTGCTGCCCCAAGGTCTGTCCTCTTCTTGAAATTCTTTTCTTGGTGCAAGCTTTACTCGCCATCATTGGCCTAAGCTAGAAACTCAGCACTTCCTTGAGCTTTTCCCTCCTCAGCACAGCTACCCAATTTCCAAGTCAGTAGCCGCTACTTTAATATTCCTTGCATTTTCTTTTCGTTCTCACATGTTCTTCTCTAGTCAGGATGCTATCTTTTCTTGCTCAAATTACTCACTACAATAGTCACCTAAAAGTCTTTGCCTTCAGGCTTGTCAGTCTCCATGCTACAGCATGATTAAAAAAAAAAAATCCAAATCTGATCTTGTTACTTCACTGTCAAAAATATGTGGCAATTCTCCAAAGCTTTAAGGATTAAATTTAAAGTCTTTAGCTTAGCAGAAGAAAAATGTTAGAGCGGATATTTTACTTATCTTGTTTTAGGAGGGCACAGAAACCCTGAACCACAGGTAAATATTTAGTATTGTCTTCTCAGCATTAACAGCATTAACAAAACAGACAAGGGCTACTCAGGCATACGCTATGACATTACATGTAAGGATTGGGTTATACAAGGCCAGAGCTTAGATAAGAAGTTTCTTTGTATGTAGGATTGTATTATGGACTGAATATTTGTGTTCCCCAAAGTTCACATTGAAATTTTGATGGTATTAGCAGGTGGGGGTCTTTGAGAAATAATTAGTTCATGAAGTAGAGCCCTCACAAATGGATTAGTGCCTTTATAAAAGGTACCTCAGAGAGCTCTTCTTTGTCCCTCTTCTGCTGTGTGACGTAATAAAAAGAAGTTAAAGAGGGTCCTCACTAGAACCCAACAATGCTCACACCTGATCTTAGATATTCAGCTGCCAAATCTGTAAGAAAATAAATTTTGTTGTTTAAAAGCCAGTGAATGTGCAGTAAGTTTGTTTATACCTGTATCACCACAAACACATAAGTGATATATGGCAATACAACATTATGACAGCTGCAAAAGTCTAAGTGATAGAAATTTTTCAGCAATGTTATAATTTTTATGTGACCACCTTCACACCTGCAGTCTGTCATTGGATAAAACATTCTTTTGGGGCGTATGACTGTATTTATGTTACCAAGATTGGGACCTTAAATTGTGCCAACTGACACTTCATTCATCTCAATGATTCATATAAAGAGCTCAGAAGCAGGCCTGGTATATAGGAGGCAGGCTAAAATTGTTAATTTTCCATTATTTCCTATAAGAATTTCTCTTTTCTCTTCCTAAAGTGAAAAATCAACATGTAACAATGAAGATCTAAGATAGTAACCCTAGTATTTCCAACTTTATCAAATGAAACTTATTTGAAATAAAAAATAAAACTGGGATGGACATATTGAGTAAAAAAAAAAATACCCATTAATTTGTACTAGCCTGAACTAAGATAAGCTTCAAATATAATATAGGATAACTAGTTAAATTTGAATTTCAGAAAACAACAAATGATTTTCCAGAATAAGTATGTGCCATGTAATATTTGTCTGAAGTCCAAATTTAACTGTGTGTCTTGTGTTTTTGTTTGCTAAATATGGCAACATTATACTATAGCTCTAGACGTAGGGTGGAAGAAGTGGGTAAGAGGATCCCCCAAGAAAATCTGTGGGAGAAATCTAAGATCTAATAATCTAATATAAGGAAACAGACTATGGGTTTAATATGGTACTCAAACCCACAAGTCAAGCTCAACTCTATCCAGAAAATTCTTCAGAATAATAGAGAACAAAAACTCAGCCAATCTCAGTGGCACACCCCTGTCATCCCAGCAGCTTAGGAGGAGGCTAAGGCAGAAGGATTGCAAGTTCAAAGCCAGCCTCAGCAATTTAGCAAGGCTCTAAGCAACTTAGTAGGACTCTGTCTACAAATAAAAAGGGCTGAGGATGTGGCTCAGGTGTTAAATGC